GAAAGAAGGAAGCCACTACGTGCAGGGCAGAGTATCTACATAAATTATTGAGGAGTCTTCTACATGGGAGAGCTGTCTTTTACTTTCTACTTGTTTATACTCAATCATTTATTTATAGCAGTATGGACTCATGGTCATGTATTTTATATACTTTGGGTTATAGTCCAGTACTACTTTACTTATTTTATTGCTTAAGTTGTTCCAGCTTTGGCCATTAGGAGCTCCTACAATTGGCTTCTGTCTTCTTTTGGCGTGACCCAGCGTTTGGTTTTGTTTTTAGAATGTCCTTACTTTCTGTCACTACAAGATATTCCAGGGTATATTTTCTGTCTGGCACTAGACTTGGCCGTTTCTCCTAGGGGCTGTAGTTCCTTTTACCAGAGAATATTATGAAAAACTAAGATCTGAGCCTGGCATTGTGGCACAGCAGGTTAAGCCGCTGCCTGTGATGCCGGCAAACCATATCAGAGCACAGGTTTGAGTTCACTTCTGATCCATGTCTCTGCTAGCTGCCTGGGAGGATGCTCCAAATGCCTTGGCCCCTGCCACCCCATATGGGAGACCTGAAAGAAGTTCCTGGCTCCTGCCTCACCAAGCCCTAGCTGATGTAGCCATTTGATGGTGGAACAGCAGACGGAAGAGTACACTCTGTCTCTCTGCCTCTCAGATAAACAAATAAATCTTAAAGACACTAAGATCTGAGAACAGAAGTCATTTTTGTATTTTGCTACACTAAATAATAGACCTAGGGGTAGGCACTTGGCCACATCCCATATCAGAGTGTCTGCTTGGAGTCTTACCTCTATCTCCTGACCCCAGCTTCCTGCAAGGAAGCAGGTGATAGATCAAGTAAGTGGGTCCCTGCTGCCCACATGGGAGACATGGATTAAGTTCCTGGCTTCAGCCTCAGCTTAACTCCAACTGTTGAGAGTATTTAAGGATTGAGCCAGTGGATGGAAGCTCTCTCTCTCAAATAAACACATTTTAAAAATTAAAAAAAAAACCCTGACCCAAATAAAAAAGCTGTCAACCACTCTAGAATGTCACCTGCCACTCTAGAATGTCACCTGCCCAAGCCTGTGTCTTGGCTGTCTTTTGGGAGTCAGGGTTGGAGGTTGTCCTGCTGACCAGTGTCTGGCTGGTGGCCTTCCTTCACGTGGGTACCAGTCTGGCTCAGGTGGGCACTGATGACACAAACATATTTGGAGGAGTACTCCGAGAGTGAAGTCCTCACAGCAGTGTTGGGGCAATGCAATGTAATCAATTCTGAGAACTGTCTGGACTGATGGGGGTGGGGAGGGAGCCAGAGACCAGGAGCGTGCCAGCTGTGGGCACTCAGACAAACCCAAGGAAGATAAAGGCAGCACAGCAGGGAGCTCTATACCAGGGGGCTGAACAACTTGCTGGAGAAGCCAGGAGGGGAAGCCCTCTGTAGTTGTGGGGGTGGGGTTGGGTTGGGGGGAGGAAGAGCAGGAAAGGGGCATTCCTGTAGGCAAACTCATAGCTAGAGTGAAAACACTGGGGCTGGATAGCGCAGGTACCTGCTGCGGAACAGTTTTTATTTTTTATTTTTATTTTTTTTGAAAGGCAGAGTTACAGAGAGAGAGAGAGAGAGAGAGAGAGAGAGAGAGAGGTCTTTCATCCACTGATTCACTCCCCAGATGGCCGCAATGGCCGGAGCTGTGCTGATCCGAACCCAGGAGCCAGGAGCTTCTTCTGGTTCTCCCACACGAGTGCAGGAACCCAAGCACTTGGGCCATCTTCTACTGCTTTCCCAGGCCATAGCAAAGAGCTGGATTGGAAATGGGGCAGTCCCATACGGATGCCAGCACTGCAGGCGTAGGCTTTATCTGCTTTGCCACAGTGCTGGCCGAGCAGGGCAGTTCTGTTACCGGAAAGAGCTGCTTGCACGTTCTTGTCTTCGCCCGAGAAAGAACTGAGAAGTGAGGCAGAGAGTGGTGGTGCCAGCCAAGTGTAATGAGAGGCGCACACAGAGAGAGCAGGCGGGGTCTCAGGGAAGAGCTGGGAGCCATCTGCATTCAGACTGCAGTCTTCCAGGCTATGGCTATGAGTGTCCGACCCCCTCCCTCTTCTGGGATATTGCTGGGTGGGGGCTTCCTGGGTGTGGAGTTCCCAAAACTCCTCCCGGGACCTTCTGAGCACGGTGTTATCCGACCTCACAGCCCTGTTGGTGCAGGCGGGGGAAGAAGCCCCTGAGCAGTCCCCAGGGACCCCACCTAACAAGGTGATTGTTACATATTAATGTTAGCCATCGCAAAACACACCGAACGCCGGAGTAAGGGAAAGAATTTATTGGGGGAAACCAGCAGACCGGAGGGAAGGGGTGAAGAGGGAAAAGGGAGAGGAGAGTATAACAGAGAGAGACAGAGGAGAGGAGATAGTGAGAGAAGACAGAGCAGAGAGAAGAGCCTAGAGAGAGTCAAGAGAGAGCCACGTGTTCAGGAACAGGTGCTTTTAAAACTTTGCCGGAGGGCGGGCAGGGAAGCAGGAGCAGCGAATCCCATTAGGATGGGGGTGGAGCCTGGCTCAGGTAGCTGGGCCATGCGGCCACCTGGCTAAAACTGCCCCAGTTTCCTAACAGTGATCCCACAAGAGCAGTAGCCTGTTCAGATGTGTGCTTGCTGGTCTGCTCTTAAGGCTTGTATCCTAGTCCCATGGCACAAAAAATGCCCATTTTCTTCTGCCCCTCTTACCATGGCTAACGTCTCTCTACTGCCTAATAGCCTGCTAAGAGCAACATTACGCAGGCAAGTAAGGTTCTGGACAAGATTCCCGAACCTGGGCCTGGACCCACCTCCAGGTCCGGAGCCGGAAACGGAATGCAAGATTGACAGGAGGTGCCTTAGCTCAAGGAGACTGAAGCCAACCGCGTTTCTCAGAAGCTGAGCATCTACCGGGGCCCCACTAGCTTCTGGGTGGCCCGAGATAAAAACCCAGGCTGCGGGGAACGGCTTATCCACGGGGCCTGGAACCCGACCCACGGCTTATCAATAAGGCCCGCAGTCGCGTGGCCCCCGACTCGCGCCTCCTTGTCTTTACGCCTGTGCTTATCCTGCCTAACCGCAGTTCTCATTCCTTTTGCACCCTGCCTTCCGGAAGACCCTCGGAGCTTGGGGCTAGGGGCACACGGCAACACCCTGCATGTATTCATTGCAGGAAAAGCCTGTCCGGGAACTGGGGCGGCCGGGACACTCCCGGGAGGGACGCGGCCCCTAGGGAAGCGAGGGCGCACTCAGCTAATTGGAACTGCGGCCGCAGCTTCGCACAGGAGGGCTTTCGGGACCCGTGGGCGTCGGCTTTGCTGTGCAAACCCTCCGCTGAGCGGAGGAAGCGCCGCCCGCAGGGGCGCGGATTGAGAGACGCGCGCTGCTAACTGCCGCGCCCTGACGTGAGCGCGGCGCGGTGAGCGCCCAGGGCGGCTCTCCCGACGGCTGATTCGCGCCACCGCAGCCGCCTCCCGCTGCACCTCGAAGGCTCGCGGCTGGAGGGAGGCGCACAGGTGGCGGGGCGTCCGCCAGCTTGGGGCTGGCGCTGGGCCCGGCGCTTTTAAGTCCCTTTGGACGCGAGAGATCAGAGACCAGGAGAGGGAGGGAGGGAGGGAGCGAGGGCGGGGGGAGGAGTCCCCGCGGCCGATCACAGGGCCCCTGCGCCCCCCGCCGCCGCGCACCTGCGCCCCTAGGCCCGCAGCCGGCACCACGACAGCCCCGCAGAGCAGCCGCAGCCGGACCGCCAACCCGGCCATCAGCACTACAAAGGCAGCCCCAAGCGGCGCCTAGGGTATCGTAAATGCTCAGTGGAACACTCCTCGCTCCCCTCCCGCCCAAGCCCCCCCCCGAGGAGAAGCAGCCCCGAGGCCCCAGCCCCACTCTGGAGCGCCTTCATTTGAAATGTTAACGTTTGGGAACTTCCTTCTCGGCCCGGATCCGCCTCCGTCGGAAGCAGGATGCAAACACCAGCCTCTCTCGGCTGGGGTGGGGGGCGCGGCAGGCCTTGCCTGGTCTCACGGAGAGACGCTGGTTGTCCAGAGACAAGCGCGGGTGACTTCCCGCACGGCTCCGGACACTCGCTGCCGCCTCTTCTGCGCCCCCATTGTAGGAGCTTTAGAAGGCCAGGTCAGCAGATCCTAAATATCCGCCCCAGCCCCCGCACGCCCTCGGGGCGGAGCGCGCGGCCCGGCCGCCTCCCGCCCCCGCTGGCTCCGAGTCGCAGGTGGAGGGCAGCTCGGAGCCCGAGCACCGCCCACGTCCGCCGGGCCGACCCCGCCCCGCGCGGTGGCCGGACCTCGGGGAGCCCTACCCGCTGCCGGATTGGGTGTCGCTGGCCAGGCGGCCACCGTGCCGGCAGAGGGGGACACACAGCGGGGTCACTTCTTAAAGACCGGGGGTGCGTTTTCCCCGTCCACGTTTCTATAGTTTATGTCGAGTTTTTTTTTTTTTTTTTTTTTGCCGACACAATCAGGTCGGATTCCTGGTCCGGCCCCGCGGCAGGCGGCTTTGTAAACAGGACTGTGGACGCCATGCCAGCTCACGACCTGTAACAACGAGGTGGTTTCTTTCCAGAGCAGGGCCACACCTGCGCACCGCACGCCTCGCGGCTGGGTGACCCGGGATCCCCGACCGCGCTGCTCATGGACCCCGATGGAAACGTCAGCGCGGGGCTGGGGGAGTCAAAAGGCCTCCTCTGGATTCGGCACGGTTTCCAGAGCTCCAAGTCTCCAGCTTGCACGCTCTCTAATCCACTAAATCCTCCGAGCAGGCACTGCCCGGTAAAGCCCAGGGCAGGAGTGACCGTTTTCTAGCCAAGGGAGCCGACGCTCACCGGTGAGGGAGCTAGGCACACAAGGGCAGTCTTTCCGTCCTGGGAGAGGCCCCTCTGCGCGCCCACCCTAACTGTGGGCGAGGTGGGGGCAAACAGGAGCCTTCCCACACACCCCAGGCTGCAGTCCATCCAGGGACTGTTCTTGAGCCCAAGTTACTCACCGGCTTTACTTTGAAATCCCGGTTCTCCTTTCTCTGCCCCAGGGCTGGCTGTGGATCCTGTGCCCAGCTGAGAGAAGCACTTCCTCCTCTGTCTCAGAAGTGCTGGATGCTGTCGGGAGGACCTGGTGGGCAGTTCCCCTTGCCCTGCTAAGACGAGGCATTGGCTCTCCTACACTTGCTGCCCACAGATGGGGGGGGGGGGCACTTGATTTCCTCCCAGGCCAAGGCTGTTCCTCACTCATGCTTGAACTTCGCCTCTTCCTGTGAACAGCCCTGAGGCTGTGACCCGGATTTTCACTCCTCCAGGCTGGCCTCGGCTGTTTTGTGAGGACAAGGGGAGGATGGGGTTCCTCTATCTGGCTTGATATTCACAGCCCCAGGGAGCATATACTTTGTGCCTGTGATCCCTGGACAACAGACCTGGTTTAAAACCCTAGCTCTGTCACCTGCTAGCTGGCTGGACGACATTTATCTTTGTGCAGTGTACCTTTTTTTTTTTTTTTTTTTTTTGACAGGCAGAGTGGACAATGAGAGAGAGACAGAGAGAAATGTCTTTCTTTTTGCCGTTGGTTCACCCTCCAATGGCTGCTGCAGCTGGCGCGCTGTGCTGATCCAAAGCCAGGAGCCAGGTGCTTCTCCTGGTCTCCCATGTGGGTGCAGGGCCCAAGCACTTGGGCCATCCTCCACTGCACTCCCGGGCCATAGCAGAGAGCTGGCCTGAAGAGGGGCAACCAGGACAGAATCCGGCACCCCGACCGGGACTAGAACCCGGTGTGCCGGCGCCGCAAGGCGGAGGATTAGCCTAGTGAGCCACGGCGCTGGCAGTGCAGTGTTCCTTAAGTTTCCCATCAGTGTGGTGGTCAGGAGGAGATGAGATGCAGATGATCTAAGTGACCAGGCAGGGACATTTGGGCTCAATCAACAGTAGCCCCTTCTGCTCAGGTGAGAGCAGACAAACGTTGTCCCCGTTGCTGCTGGCCTCTGCTCCCACCTGCTCTCTGTATGATGGCAGAGATTGTAAGGTTCCTGCCAAGACTCCCCAACTAAAACCATATGGCTCTGGGATCCTGGCTTGGGCAAGCATATTGGCTTTCAGAGCCAGGTGACAGCCCGGAGGCTCCTCTCCTGTCGTCATGCTGGGCAGGAAGTCAGGAAACCCAGCCTGACTCTGGGACCTTCCCTAACATTCAATAGCCCTGCTCCGCTTCTACTGTTTCCATCTCAGGGTGATCAACCCCTAGTCCGCCTGTGACTGTCAGAATTCAGTATCAACATTTCCAAGAGAAGACTCACGTATACAAATCTCAAAATATTTTTGCACCAAAACTGAACTTACCTTTAATCCCACTTTTCACATCTTTACAAGAGGCACAAAAATTACCAAAAATATTATCTGCCTTTTTCTTGGGGGGAGGGGTATTTCTTTTTTACATTGGTATTTGAAAGGCTGAGAGAGACAGGGATTGTGTTATCTGTGGATTCACTCCTGAAATGCTTACAGTGGCTGGCGCTGTGGTGTAGTAGGTTAAGCTTCTGCCTGTGGCGCCAGCATCTCATATGGGCACCAGCTCTAGTCCTGGCTGCTCCTCTTCCAATCCAGTTCTCTGCTATGGCCTGGGAAGGCAGTACAAGATGGCCCAAGTCCTTGGGCCCCTGCACCCACGTGGGACACCCAGAAGTAGTTCCTGACTCCTGGCTTCGGATCAGCCAGCTCCAGCTGATGCAGCCATTTAGGGAGAGAACCAGGGGATGGAAGACCTCTTTCTCTGCCTCTCTCTCTCTCTCTAACTCTACCTCCCAAATAAATAAATAAGTAAGATCTTAAAAAAAAAAAAAAAAAAGAAATGCCTACAATAGTTGGGGCTGGGCCAGGCGAAAGCCAGGAGCCAGGGACTCAAACATGGTCTCCCATATTGGTGACAGGGGAGCAAAGTACTTCAGCCATCGTCTGCTGCCTCCAGGAATGCACATTAGCAGGAAGCTGGAACTGGAAGCAGAGCCAGGACTCAAATTGAGCACTCTGACAGGAGTTGTGGGCATCCCGGGTGGCAGCTTAACTGCTATGCCAAAGCCCTTTGCTTGTACCAAGGACCAAGGATGATTGACCCGCGTGTGGGTGTGTGTAGGACTCATGGTAAGGCCCCAAAAGGGCATAGGGAAAAGGGCATTGTAGGCAGGGGGAATAGGAGCCTGGCATGAAGCCTTGAGACCTGTGTGTAGTCACACATGGGTGGTCAGGAGCAGAGCAAGGAGCTGGAGGTGTGGGAAGGCAGCAAGCCACAGTAAGTGCCATGCAAATGACACTGGGTATGAACTTGGTGCCCACAGTGGGGAGCTAGCAAAATTTTTTTAGGAGATGGAAGTGACTTGCTAAATGTATATTCTAGAAATATAATTGTGGGGACTTACGAGGATGCATTCATCTAAGAAAAAGACATGTTTTTTAAAAAGTTAGTTCATTTGAAAGGCACAGTGACACGGAGAGGCAGAGAGAGCTGGCTCACTCCCCAAAGGCTTACATCAGCAGGGGCCGGGCCAGGCAGAAGCCAGGAGCCAGGGACTCCATCCCAGTCTCCCACATGGGTGGTGGGGACCAGAGAGCCTGGTTTGTCATGTGCTGCTTCGGAGATGCATCAGCAGGAAGCTAGATCAGAAGTGGAAGTCGGGGGTGGGGTTGGCGCTGTAGCACAGTAGGCTAAGCTGCCACCTGTGGCACTGGCATCCCATATGGGCACTGGTTCATGTCCCAGCTGCTCCTCTCTGATTCAGCTCTCTGCTTATGGCCTGAAAAAGCAGTAGATGACCCAAGTATTTGGGCCCCTGCACCAGTGTGAGTGACCCAGAAGAAGCTCCTGGCTTCAGATCGGCCCAGCTCTGACCCTGTTGTGGCCTTTTGGGGAGTGAGCCAGTAGATGGAAGACCTTTCTCTCTGTCTCTCTTTCTCTGTCTGTAACACTCTACTTCTCAAATAAATAAAATCTTAAAAAAAAAAAAAAAAAAAAAGCGAAGGTGGGACTTGATACTAGGCACTCCCACGTGTGCAGAGGTGCCCAAGTGGTGCCTTAACTCATGTACCACAGCACCCGCTGTGGTGAATTCACTTTTTATAGTTTTCTTCATCAAATATTTACTGTGCTTCTGTGTCAGTGCCACCAATACAGATACAACGCAAGCCACAGATGCAACTTAGATTTCCTAATAGACACATGACAAAGGTGAAATTAAGTTTAATGATATAGTCTACTTAACCTAATATATCAAAAACATTATTGTTTCAATGGTTAAGCAGGATAAAAAACGACCAAGATAGTTGATACTCTTTTTTTGTACTGAGCCTTTGGCATGCACTGTGTATTTTTTTTTAAATTTATTTTATTTATTTTTTTTATTTTTATTTTTTTTGACAGGCAGAGTGGACAGTGAGAGAGAGAGAGACAGAGAGAGAAAGGTCTTCCTTTGCCGTTGGTTCACCCTCCAATGGCCGCTGCTGCAGCCGGCGCACCGCGCTGATCCGATGGCAGGAGCCAGGATCCAGGTGCTTTTCCTGGTCTCCCATGGGGTGCAGGGCCCAAGCACCTGGGCCATCCTCCACTGCACTCCCTGGCCATAGCAGAGAGCTGGCCTGGAAGAGGGGCAACCGGGACAGAATCCGGCGCCCCGACCAGGACTAGAACCCGGTGTGCCGGCGCCACTAGGTGGAGGATTAGCCTAGTGAGCCGTGGCGCTGGCCCTGCACTGTGTATTTTAACATGTTCAGCACACCTCGACTTGGACCAGCCACATTTCATGCACACACAGCTTGTGGCTATCACCGGGGTTGCAAAGCTCCATGCTGAGTGCTGAGGGTACAGTGGGAACGAGGACCAGCAAGGTCTCTGCCCTCGCATAGTTCACATTCTAGTGTGGGAGACAGGTAAGCAAATAGTTTTGGAGCCTGCTGAGTGTTTTTTAAGTAAATATACGATTATCTTGCCAGAGACCAGGTCAGAGAGGCCCTTCTGAGGCTGAGACCTGAACGAGGAAGACTTAACCAGGGGAAAAATCAACTTCTCTATCAGTTATCTATCGCCAAGTAATGCTGACTAACCAAGTGTTCCCAAATCCTGAGGCCTGCGGTGGGAGTCTGGCCTAGCCGTGAAGAAGGCTGCATCCCACCGGTGCCTGCCTTCGATTCCGGGCTCAGGCTCCGGCTCCCGACTGCAGCTTCCTGCTAATGTGCGCCCTGGGAGGCAGTGGTGACGGCTTCAGTAATCGGGTTCTTGTCACCCATGCTGGGGACCTGGGTCTCATTTCTGGGTCCCAGTTTGGCTTTGGCCCAGCCCTGGCTGTTGTGGGCATTTTGGAGTGAACTAGAGAATGGGTGCTCGCTCTCTGTTTCACTAGCTCTCCCACAATTTTTAAGATTGAGAGAGGAGGAGAGAGAAAAGTCTAAAAAAAAAAAAATTCAGGGGCTTAATGTAATAGGTTATGATTGCTCGGAAGTCTACAGGCCAGGGGGTCCCAGGTGAGCTCATGTAAGCCTCTCTGAACAGCTACAGGTCAGGCAGGTAGCCTTCTGGTCCTGGCTGGGCTTCCACGTCTGGGGCCTGCTGGCTGCCGACTGGTCTGGGATGACCTCAGCTCTTTTCTATGTGGCTCCTTATCCCCAGCCTGCTAGCCCAGGCCTGCTCTCTTGGCGGAGGCAGGGATCTGCAAGAAAACCTTGGATGCCTTCAAGGTTTCCTAAGGCTCAGGCTCAGAACTGCATCACTTCTGCCACTTTCTTTTGGCCAAGAAAAATTACAAGGCCGGCTGAGGTGCTGGGAAGAGCCGCAAAGTTACACTGCAAAAGGTGTGGCAACAGGGAGGGGTGGGAACTTCAGGTGACTTTTCCAATTATTCTCCCATGTGACTTTTTTTTTATAAAGAGATTTATGGGACCAGCACTGTGGTGTACCAGGTAAAACTGCCACCTGCAGTGCTGGCATCCCATATGCATGCCAGTTCCTGTCTCAGCTGCTTGACTTCCGATCCAGCTCTCTGCTAATGACCCTGGGAAAGCAGTGGAAGATGGCCCAAGTGCTTAGGCTCCTACACTACGTGGGAGACCCTGAAGAAGCTCCTGGCCTCGTGCTGGCCATCATGGCCATTTGGGGAGTGAACCAGCAGATGGAAGATCTCTCTCTCCCTGTCTCTGTGTAACTCTGCCTTTCAAATTAATTAATTAATTATTCTTTAAAAAAAGTTTTCAATTCTACCAGGAAGCTATAACAAATCTAAACTTTCCACATCCAATAAAATAGCCTCAAAATACAAAACAAAAATAGAACCACAGGGAAAAATTGCCAGATTCACGGTAGGGGCTTCAATGTGTCTTTTGCTATTATTGATAGGTCAAACAGACAAAAAATACAGGAGTTGAACACAATTTAAAGCTCAGCACAATGCAGGTATTCGGCTAACAAACACACACAGCATGGTTTCTGCATGTGGGCACACTGGGCATAAAACAGTGACCACAAGTCAAGCACCCGTCTTCCCGAGTTTATATTCTAGCGGAAGGACATAAGCAACAAATTAATAACTAAGACAAATTTGGTGGCCATTATGGAGAAACACAGCAAGGAGAGGAGACAGAGGATGCTGGATGGCAGGCTGAGGGTTTTAAGTTAAACACAGCCACGCATGTTACAACTGAGGAGCAGGCGCGTGAGCAGAAGCCTCAGAGTTTAGGGTAAGCCACATTCCTACATGCAGGTCAGTTGGCGTGTACAGCAAGTGCAAAGGTCCTGAAGCAGAAGCTAGTTAGACGTGTTAGAAGGCAGGCCTGCCAAGAAGGGACAGGAGTAGTTAGGGGTTTTAGTCTTACTGATGGGAAGCCCCTGGAGGGTTTTCGGTCAGGGCATATCGTATAGCGTTAGGGGTGAGGGCCCAGGGAGAAGACAGCTGTTTCCAGAGACAAGGGCTAGGAAGGCAGGTCACTTCAAGGTCTCTAGGTGCCAACCCTTGTTAGGCAACATGCCCCCAGGGAATTTCCCTTACTGAGTCTTTGGGTTAGTTAGGCAGCAGTGTGTTCCCCAAAGAGTGTCACCATCTCCAGAGAATATATTCCAATTATCCTGGAAAACAAGGTAATGGGGATCATGATAGCACTTTTCTTTTCTCAACTCTCAGCGTGAAAACCGACTCCAGAACACACCCTCCCCACACCCCCTGGGAAAACTCGGGAAGCAGTTTATAGAGACACCAGGCTATGCAAAACCACTGTTACTTTCAAGTCATGATCTCAAAGGCAAGGCGTCTTTACTGAGCAGTGACGATGTGCTAGGGATGAGACCCTGACGCTCACAGGAAGACCAACATGTTCCGATCAACATGCAAAATACATGCAAGGTCGAGAGAACATAAGCGCCTTGGACAACAATCAAGCAGGGACAGGGGACACTCGGGAGTCAGGGAAGGGTCACTGTGAAGTTCCATCTGAGAGCAATCCTAAGGGAGGCTGGGCTCTGGGGGAAGCCAGTTCAAGGCAGAGGGAAGAGGAGGTGCATGGGCTCAGGGATGCAAAGGCAGGGCCCGGCCCACCCCTTGCACTGCAACATGCAAGTTCCAATTTATACTTTTATTCTGTAGCCTATGACAAGAAGAAACCACTGCTATTATAGTGCTTGCTGGCTTCTCAGAGCTGGAATTCTGTAAGTTGTAAGACATGTTACTACACATTTATCAGAAAAAGATTGGAAGGTCTACTTAGCAATGGCAGTTCTGGCGGTTCCCACGCCTGGGCTAGGAGGCGGGCAGAGCAATGGTAGACCAGGTGCCCTCTCCTAGTTTTCTCTGTAGGAGTTTCTGTTCCCAGTTAAAAGCAAGCTCCAGTCTACTCCCGTGGAGTTCCAGGGAGTGGGGGTTCTGTCCTCCTCCAGGCAGCATACAGGACGGAAGCCTGCAGCTTCAAAGGGTCCCAGACTTGGCTCACATTCATGATTTTCATTTTGCTTAAATATGATATTTAACAGGAAAAAAAAATCAGACATCGGAGGGGAGGTGGAATGTGAGTTGCAGGAACTAAGAAAACAAAAGCAAGACAACAAAAAGCTGCTTGCCCACCTGTACCTCATACTGGCGTGGAACTCAGGACCACAGCAGCGGAAAGGGGTGCCTTTGGGTACTGGCCAGCCTCAGTGCACTAAGGGTTAAGATGTGGTGTAGCCAGCAGGGACAGGAGAGTCTGAACTTCCTCCAGGAGGGGCCCCAGAGGTGTCAGGCTCGCCAGTCTTTTTTTTTTTTTTTTTTTAAAGATTTATATATTTGGGGCCGCCGCCTGCAGCACCGGCATTCCATATGGATGCTGGTTCCAGTCCTGGCTGCTCTACTTCCAATCCAGCTCTCTGCTGTGGCCTGGGAAAACAGGAGGGAGCTCCTGGCTCCTGGCTTTCGACCGGCACAGCTCTGGTGGTTGCAGGCATCTGGGGAGTGAACCAGTGGATGGAAGACCTCTCTCTCTGCCTCTGCTTCTCAGTCACTCTGCCTTTCAAATAAAATAAATAAATCTTAAAAAAAAAAAAAAAGGATTTATTTGAAAGGCAGAGTGACAGAGAGAGAGGGAGATAGGTCTTCTATCTGCTGGTTCACTTCCTAGATGGCAGCAATAGCCAGAGCTGGGCTGATCTGAAGCCAGGAGTCAGGAGCTTCCTCCCGGTCTCCCACATGGGTGCAGGGGCCCAAGGACTTGGGCCATCTTCCACTGCTTTCCCAGCCGCATTAGCAAGGAGCTGGATGGGAAGCGGAGCAGCTGGGACTGGAAGCAGAACTCATTTGGGATGCTGGTGTCCCAGGTGGTGGCTTAATCCACCATGCCTCAATGCAGGCCCCTGACAGTAACACATTTGAGGATTCAATCACCATGGATCAAAAACATTTGGAGGGGCAGAAGGCTAAGCTGCCACTTGGGATACCAGCATCCCATTTTCAGAGTGCCGGTTCAAGCCCCATCCACTTCCCATCCAGCTCCCTGATTATGTGCCCGAGAAGGAAGTAGAGGATGGCCCAAGTTTTTGGGCCCCTGTTACCCATGTGGGAGACCCAGATGGAGTGCCTGGCTTTAGCCTGCCCCAGCCCTGGCTGTTGTAGCCATTTGGGGAGTGAACCAGCAGATGCAAGATCTGTCTCTGATGCTTATCCTTTCAAATAAATAAATAAATAAACATTTTTAAAAGTTTCTATCTATACTGAACATGTGCCTTTTTCTTGCTCTTAGCCCACTAAACAACACAACTATTTACAAGCATCAATATCTGGATGGTGTGTGAGTGACATTCAAATACAGCATGTTACACTCCTTTGAGGGACTTGAGCATCCGTAGACGGAGGGTCCTGGAACCAATTCCTCAGAGGGACAGTTAAAGTCCAGGTTCTGATTCCCAGGAGTTAGGGAGGGGACAGGAATTCTGCATTCCTAACAAGCTCCCTGGTCATGCCCACACTGCTGCCTAGGGATCACTCTTTTGAGAATTTGACACTACTATGTTTCATTGCTTATCTTAACCACCATACAGAAAGTCCTCAAACTGGCTCCACAGACTGTCTCTTTAAATAATTGACCCTTTCACTCCAGCTCCCTGGGCCTATCAAGTGTCCAGCAGCCAGGCCTGAGGAATATATCCTGCAGTGTAGGAGGGTCCAGGCACCCTCCTACTGGAAGATCTAGCAATTGTCTCCTCCATCACCTCCATCACCGGCTTTTGATCTTCCCTCTTGCCTCTGATGATAATTACTTTAATTAGCACCCACCACCGTGCCATCTAAATAATTACTGTAAGTGCAGCCAGCACCTCTGCCAACAACCTTCAAACACAATGAAAAAAAGTAGCTCATGTGTTTAAAAAACACTGACACTCCCTCCCCCCTCCCCCGCCCCAAGTCAGGTACCACCCGCAGTGGAAGACACAGACCTCTTATAACCGCCATTCATGAGCTGATATGGCAAAATTAAAAGAAAATTCTGATGCTGTATTCAGCAAGACTGTTCGTGTCAGCATACAAATTGTGCAGGCGGCCAGGCACAAAAAGAACACTTGAACCACCCTCAATTTCACCTTGACTTCCCACTGGGAAGGGCTGCAGGGCCTCTCAACTATTTTTCTGGATTTTGGAGTTTCCAAATTATATGGGGGTGGTGGTGGTGGTGCTTGATGACTTTGGGTACATTCAAAGCAAACTGTTTGCAGAAGTGCTAGTGGACACAAGGGGTCAATTCCTTTAGGATGTTGCCAAATAATCAAGCTGGAGGCCCTCAGTGGAGAGCTTTATTTACTTGTGAGACAGTGGGCAGGTAGGTCTCCCTAATTAGACAGCTTACCAGGGAGTGTCCAAGATGCAGGAAAGAGGGGGCAGCAGGAGGGCCCTTCCTGCTCAGCCAGCACTCATCCTCACACATTCGCCTTTCAAAACTGAGGCAGTCTGGTCCTGGTGGGAGGCCTCGGGCTCCCCTTGGAGTACATACAACGTTACAAACTTTCCTGGGAGGGGACATCGGCTCTGCCCTCGTCCCCAAGCCTGCCTACACTTCCAGGTTACACAAAAGGGGCAGTTCCCGGCTCCCCGCCCCCCTCCCCACCCCTCAATAGTAATTGGTAGCATTCTGGTTTCCCCAGTGGGTCCCCCTGAACCTCCAGTCCCAGGTAGATGAATCACGCGCCCCCCTCAAGAGGCAGGACCGTGCCTCCCATCGAAGCCTGCACTGAAATAACAAAACTTTCCATTCTTCTCAATTAGGAAATGCACTGGCCCGGAAAAAACAAATATCCAAACCCAAACAGCACAAAAGGGCGTACAGCGACATACAAACACTTCTTCCTTCCACCTTCCGCCACCTCCCAGCCCTCCCCAGAGGTTTAGTTCTTGGAGCGCTTTATTATGGAAAATTTCAGACACACCAGGGTTTGAGTCCCCTCCCTCCAGTTCCTCAAGGAAAACTGACACCACCTGTCAAAACTTTACCTTGTATGTCTGTTTTTTTTTTCTTTTTTTCCCCCTCTCCCAAATAACCGCATTATCGCTATCACAGTGCACAAGGGTAACGATAATTCTTTAATGCCATCCAATATCCTGGGGGTCACTGCTAAGCAGGGGCAAGCAGGCAGGCAGGCAGGCAGGCAGGGGGAGACTGAAAAGCCAGGACGCAGGGGACGGAGCTGACGCCGGCCCGACACCGCTCGTTACCCGGCGGTCAGGAGGCTGCGCCTCCCGCTCCTCGCCGAAGTGGCCCGCGGGTCCGAGCCGCAAGCTCCCAGTCTCCCCGCTCCCGGGCGGCGGTCCCAGCAGGCCCGGCGCAGCTGCACGACCCACCGTCCCCAGATACCGGCCGGTCCCTGGAGGGGAAACGATTGACACAGCTGCCTGCACTGCGCCGCCGGCCCTCCCCCACCGCACCTGCGTCTCCCTGCTGGGCCGGGAGCTTGGAGCTGCCTCCCGAGCCCCGCCGGGCCAGCCCCGCCGCTACCGCCACTGCCACCGCCACCGCCACAGCCACCGCCGCTCCGCCAGCCGCCAGCTCCGGCGCGGGGGCTCTCGGCGCCGTGACCTCGCGGACCGGGACTACAACTCCCGTCGGGCCCCGCGCTGGGCCAATGGCGGGCGTCGGGGCATGCGGGGCGCGGCGCCTGCGCGGCGGTTTGAGTAAGCGGCCGCGCGATTGGCTGCGGGGTCGGGCGGCCGCGCGGGGCCTGTGGGAAGCGGAGTGACGGAGCGAGCGGCTGTTGGAGGAAGGAGGTGGGGGCCGGAGCGCAAATGGCGTTGAGATGGTTCAGGGCCCTGTTCAAACTCCAGCGCTGACCATTCACCGGCGGAAGCGGCGGCGCAGGAGGCGGCGGCGGCCCAGCGGGAGCACGTAGCGGGCTCGGCACCGGCTCCGGCGGCGGCGGCCAGGGAGGCCTAGGCCCGGGCCCGGCCGGCAGCGCTCGAGGCGGGGAGGGAAGTTGCGGGGCCGCCGCTCCCCCCCCCCCCCTCCGCCGGGCTTCCTATTTACCGAAAGCGGAGTCGCGGCTTGTGACTGTAGTGGAGCCCCTCGCCGCCCCCGGCGTGCCGGCCGGCCGTGTGCTCCCGCGCGGGGCTCCCGCGCCCGCCCGTGGGCCATTGGGAGCGGGAGAGGCGGAGGCGGCCCGAGGCCAAAGCACCCGCCAGGCGCCGAGGGTAAGTGAGGTCTCGGGCGGCTGCCTAGGCCTGGAGCGGAGCCGGGCAGGGTAGGGGAGACAAGGAGCTGCGAGGGCGGAGTGTGTGTGGGTGGGGGGGGTCCCGCTGCCTCCTCGCCCACCCGGCTTCGGAGGAAGTTGGGCAGGGGAACGACCCGAGGAACTCTTTTTTTTTTTTTTTTCTTCCTGTTTTATTTCCCTTTTTTCCCCCCCACTGAGTTCTTTTCCGGGAGGCTGCCGGTGGACTTCCCCCTCCTTGAGCCCCCGAGACCTTGCCGGTCGTCGCCCCCGCCCGTGGCCGCCCCCGAGGCCCGGCCCTGCCCGCCCCAGGGATTCGGTGGCAGAGGCTTCCGGGGCGTCGGAAGCGACATCCCTGGGCCGGGCGGTGGGGGCGGGGAGCAAAGTTGCGTGAGCCTCTTGCCTGCCCGCCGGCAGGTGAGGGTTTCTGGCTGGTCGGGTTTGCGCCTCTCCAGTCTTGGCTTCCTCCGTGGCAGCCCCCTGCGGAGCGTGGAGGGGTCGGGAGGGGGTGAAGTATTGGGAGGACTTCATGCTTCTCTTTAGACCCCAGCGCAGGTCCCCCAGAGTTGGACCCGGCCTTGGGCAGAAGCAGAGGTCTCAGAGTCGGGACTGGTTCGTTCTCCTTCGTAGTCTTTGGAGTTGGAAGGCGAGTTAAGACAGCCCGGGTCGTGAGATAGCACTAGTACAACGCACACCTGAGTTGGGGAGTTTTAGGCGTGCTTTACGCTTAGATAATGCCATCGGTGCTTGCCAGCAAGAGCCCGGAGTATTATATAATGTACTCAGATGTGTCCGTCTCAGCTTCAGCAGGTATTAACACTTCCTATTTGTTCCAGTTGGAAAATCGCTGGTGTTACCTCGTCAGTATCTCAGAATGTATTTGTAAAAGACAAGGGCGCTCTTATCACACTTAGGGTAGTTCACTGTTTCCACAGTGGTGGCTTCGTGGTTCCAGGGACGTTTTTCCTATGAGCTTTTCTGGTGCTGGCCCAGAGGATCTGAAGTCCAGAGTTTTGGGTTGGCCTTTAGTCAGCGTTTTTAGTTGATTACCACTTAAGTGCATTCAAAACGTGCCAGCTCTGTTGGTGTAGGTGTAACTGTAGGGCTGTCGCTCGCGGCTTTCCATTTACAAGGAGAGAAGTGTCTTCATTTTGTCTTTGGTAGCTGCTCAGTAGCCTTAGTTTGGTTCTACAGTAAGACTTGGTAGTGTTCAGTCTACAGTGAAAGTGGGAAATGGCTCTCCCTGGGGAAAACTGTTTGCTCTTAGCACAGATGTGTATGATGACTATGTTGTTATTTTGACCAATTAGAATTGGCTACTTACCAAACATGGTGTGATCCTGTACTGAGTATATATAAAACTAAGTTGGACAGTGATTCGTTTTTAAGAGTTCTGTCTTTTAAAGATTTCTTTTTTCTTTATTTGAAAGGCAGAGGGACAGGGAGAGAGATCTTCTGTCCACTGGTTCACGCCCCCAAATGGCGGTAACAGTCAGGGCTGGGCCAGGCTGAAGCCAGGAGGCAGGAGCTCCATCCACGTCTCCCACAGGGGTGACAGGGACCCAGGCACTCAGGGCATTGTCTGCTGTTTTCCCAGGCACCTTAGAAGGGAGCTGGATCAGAAGCTGGGACTCAGACTGCCTTTGGGATATGGGATGTATTCCATCAGCATTATGGCATCCAAAGTGGCTGGTTAACTTGCATCACAATGCCAGCCCCAGAATTTTTTGTACGAAAGATTTATCCGTAAGGCAGAGTGACACAGGTAGAGATGGAGTTCTTCCATCCGCTGGTTCACTCCCCAAATGGCTGCAACGGTGAGGTCTGGATCAGGGCTGGGCTAGGGCAGAAGCTGGGAACTGGGATTTCAATCCACGTCTCCCGCATGCGTGGCAGGAACCCAATTACTTGCTGCTTCCCAGGGTGTGCACTAAGAAGGTAGAGTTGGGAGCCTGACCTGAACCCATTGTGGGTTATGGGTGTCTTAACTGAAGTCTTAACTGCTGGATTGAAAACCCACCTTACTTGTATTGAAGTTAATAAAGGGAACACATTAAAAGTACATTTCAGGGTCGGGCATTTGGCCTAGTGTTTACTTCAAAAGTTCCAGCTCTGCTTCGGTTCTAGTTTGCTGCTGTTAGGCATACTGCGAGACAGCAGCTTAAGCTTATGTAAGTGGTCCCTGCCACCCATGTGGGAGACCTGCATTGGCCTCCCAGCTCCGGGCTTTGGTTGTTTCAGGGCATCTGGGCAGTCAGTCAGCAGATGAGAGCTCTGTCTTTACCTAAAAATTTTTTTTAATTATTAAAAATGTACTTAAAATATATTCAAAAGTGTAGGTCAGATAGCATTTCCACTATTGTAAGTTTCAAAGTAATGAAGATTTTTCAAGTCCTGTGCAGTTTATTTTTTCTAGTTGTGTTTGTTGTGATGATAAACTATAGAAGGTCAAAGTATAAGGGATGGATAAAGGTTGACTGGCTTTAAAAGTACTATAACTTGGTTTTAAAAATGTTTGTACTTTATTTGTTCCGTACCTGTTTTTATTAGGTAGATATATCACGTGAATTAATTTGTTTATCAGTGGAAGAGGAATATAAAGGTTCCATACTTCTATCCCTGTGAGAATCCTTGAAACTAATAAACTGAAGTTCATCAGCTCCAGAAAATGTAATTCAGCAAATGAACACAGCACTGGAGGGACAAGACAGACAGAATAAGGATGGTTTCTTGTGTGTAGGGAGATGTCCATCTAAGTCCAAATTACATTAGACCAGGGATCATAATCTTTCTGTTTGGGTTAAAAGCTGCAGGTTGTAATAATGTGGAAAAAAAAGTCATGCCATTTTGACCTTTTTTTCCCTCATAGAATAAATGCTGTAGAATTCCAGAGAACTAAATTTAGTCAGCTATTAGACATTTCTGAGGTCCTGAAAGAAAATAACATTTTTTTTGCTTAAGATTTTATATTAGGGGCAATTAACCTATTCAGATTTTTTAAAGATAAAAATGATGTTTATGAAAATAGTTGATTGATTTGAAACTCCAAAAAATGTTTTACTATAAGTTAGTTTTGTGTCTGCTGTATTGTAAGTAGGTTAGTCAGTAATTTATTTGTCAGTAGCTTGTATGTGCTCACTATAAAGAAAAGGGAAGACATGCCGAGTAAAAAAAAAATGAGCCTCTTTGTTTACCCCTTCTTCATATTAACCATTTTTAGTTTTTGTTTTTAAAGATTTATTTTGAAATTCAGAGTTCCAGATAGAGATCTTTCATCCATTATTCACTCCCCAGATGGCCACAACAGGAGCTTCTTCCCAGTCTCCCACATGGGTGACAGGGGCCCAAACACTTTGTCCAGCTTCTGCTGCTTTCTCAGGCCGATAGCAGAGAGCTGGATCAGAAGCGGAGCAGCTGGGACTTGAACTGGCATCCATATGGGAAGCTAGCATCGCAGGCTGCGGTTTTACCCACTAAGCCACGATGCTGGCCCCATATGAACCATTTTTAAAGGCTTGTGTGGTGAATGTTGAAAAGTTGTGTGCAGAGAATGCCTAGGTTCTTATGTGTAGGGTTAAATACTAGATGTATAAGTAAATATGATTGTATATTTTCTTAATTTTTTTTCACAGAGAATATGAAACAGGTGTCAAAATGACATCCAGATTTGGGAAAACATACAGTAGGAAAGGAGGAAATGGCAGTTCAAAATTTGATGAAGTCTTTTCCAACAAACGGACCACCCTTAGCACAAAATGGGGAGAGACCACATTTATGGCTAAATTAGGGCAGAAGAGGCCCAATTTTAAACCCGATATCCAAGAAATTCCGAAGAAACCTAAAGTTGAAGAAGAAAATACTGGAGATCCTTTTGGATTTGATAGTGACGATGAATCTCTACCAGTTTCTTCCAAGAATTTAGCCCAGGGTAAGGGTTCCTCTCACTCGGAATCTAGTGAAGCTGCTCCGCTGGAAGAAGTCACTTCTGTACTTGAAGCTAATAGCAAAACTAGTCATGCGGTGGGTGAGGACAGTGTTGTGGCTGTCAAATGCTTACCTTTGGAAGATACTTTGCTGGGGAAAGAGAAGAGCACAAGTCGGATCCTAGAAGATGACACAAGCAAAAGTAGCTGTACTAAATTAATGACTTCAGGTAAGTTTCGGTTTTCTTTATGTTGAGTCCAGAGCTCTCTGTAAACAGTTTATTTAAATGATTTAAGTTCTAAAATACCATATAACTTAGATTTTCTTTCTGCACTTGTGATTAATAGGGAGCACTGATTTTGTAAGAGATTTAAGAACTATAAAGAAAGTTGAAAGTTGACAATGTATTCAAACAACTTGGATATTAATGTTTCTAGGCTATAACTCAGTTTTAGAAGCAGTCATTTATAAATCCCTAACTTTCATTCCAGTAAGAAATCTCTTCTCTTGTTGTCTTAAGGTTACACAGCATCTCATTTCTATTACCGTGGAGGATTTGGACGGTTATTGATAATGGAAATGAGATGGGCATTTACAGTGAGCATTAGTTAGGAGTGTGAGCTTTTTCTCCAAAACTAGTTCAGAAAGATTAAGGCGGTGTTCAGTGGAGACAGAAGAATTAAACTTCGTTGCAAATTGAGGGGAGGATGGGGACCAGTAGCAACTAGTATTGATAACATTTTATGTATGAAACTGGCTGTATTTTTAAAATGTTAATTGGTAAATTTGTTACCTAGTCTTTTCTCCTAAAATCATATATTTTGTCAGTTACATTCCCATTCACTTTTTAAAAAATTTTTTTCAAAGATTTTATTTATTTGAGAGAGAAAGTTAGAGAGAGAGAAATAGGTCTTACATCCACTGCTTTAATCCCCAAGTGACTGCAATGGCCAGAGCTGGGCCGATCTGGAACCAGGAGCCAGGAGCTTCTTTCAGGTCTCCCACATGGGTGCAGGGGCTCACGGACCTGGGTCACTTTCCACTGCTTTCCCAGGCCACAGCAGAGAGCTGGATCGGAAGTAGAGCAGCCGGGATTAGAACCAGTGCCCATATGGGATGCTGGCACTGCAGGCAGTGGGTTTACTCACTACGCCACAGCTCTGGCCCCCTGAAGCGTTGTTCTTAAGTTAAGCTCAAGTCAAACAGCAGCATAAAAACTGTTACCAGGTCAGCTCCTAAAACGTTTTATAATGAAGAACTTTTGAGCTTAAATAAATTCTAGTTCTACTCTTATTTTTCAGATGAGTTACAAGAAGTTAGTTAAGTGACTGTGCAAGGTCAACAACTAGTGGCAGAAATGGAATGATATTTATTTATTGGTTTTCCACATGTTATTGAGCACCTACTGTTTGTCAAACCACTGTGCTATGCTCCAGGAATACTGTTCCAACTGAATTATTTAGTGTTCTGACTGCCATTTGTCCACATTGCGAGGCTTGTAGGCTGGAGGAAAAAGACGAAGTCGGGCAAGTGGTGAATGTGCTCACAGAAGGCTGACCCAGACTTCCCTAAGCATGCTGGCTTCGAGAGAACAGAATGTCATTGGCGGGCCCTGATAGTGGAGGGTTTTAATAAGGATGAATGCTTGGGTGAGGGAACAGGAATGTGGCAGTTAAACATTCATAGGCAGTGGTTGCTTACGGCGCTTTGCTGATGGTGTGTGTTTGCACGCAGTGTGTCCAAACTAGTGTTGGAAGTTGACTGGTGGGAACTGAAAGCGTAGTTTTTTGGTGGAATGAGGTAATCCCTTGCCAGTCTGATGTGGCTGAATTGTAGTTCAGATGCTGATACTAACTGTGAATTCACACTGCATTATAATGGGTGCTAAAATACAGATAACCAGATGTTCAGGAACATCTTGTTTCTCTTCCTCCCTCACAGAGACACCCTTGGTGGGAAGGGAATGGTGTGGTAGTCAGTGCTTTCCCTCCTCTCCTTTGGCCACTCAGCTGCAGCAGCCCTGGCATCTTCCCTGTGAGATAAGAAGTAAAACTGAATGAAGGCTTTTAATTTTCATAGTAGTTGCTAATGTGGGCAAGTTAGTTGCTCTTATCAACTGTTTGTTGTAAGTTTGTGTATGTGTGAATTGGTTATAGCTGTGAGAATGCTTTTATGCTTTATCACCTTCCATTTTTTTGGCCCCTTCCCTCTAAACTTAGCAAGTCCTCTTGGATCACCCAAAAAACCTTGTAACTGTAGAAACTCAAACTTAAGTTTTTGATAAAAGAGGTCTAAATCTCAAGTACTCTTAACCTTTTTTGAATTAGGGATCCTTCTGAGACCTTTCTCCAGATGAAAATATTTATATACCTACTTAGGTCTAAGAAGTCTAGCTGGCTGTGTTTAGGTATTTTGTTTAAGAACCTTTCAGCAGTTTTATCAACAATTTGCTAGAAGTACACAGATTAAATTGCATAGGATCCTGCCAGTGGAATGTCCCTGGTCCCACCATTTTTTGCAGTAGAATTACATCATATCAACCAGAAGGGCTTATCCAAGCTCATAATGATGTCATTTCTCTTGGCATTACTTTTTTAAGTCCATCTCTCTTTCTGTAGGGGAATATGTGGTTTTTTTTTTTGACATTGTTAAAATTATTTCAGTGCTTTATCATAGATAGCACTTTCAAATTTTCTGACTAATTTGAAGAAACTCAGGACGAGGTCATGATAAAACATACAATAGTGGTTATTTTCTAAATAGATGCTTCATGGGTTGGGGTACTGGAAGCAACATTATAAACTGAATAAGACCTGTGGAGAGGGGTCGAGTTGCTAAAATGTCTTAACCTGTAATTTAAACAAGAAACACTTATTATGAAACTTTCACACACATAAAAATCGAATGGTACCAGAATCTCAAGTATTCAGTTGTCCAGCTGAAACAGTTGTCAGTTTATGGTAAACCTTGTAAACTACTCTTTTATCTTTTATTTATTTGAAGAAATAATGTTTTATTTATTTTATTTTGTTGTTAAAATTTTCAGAGTACCTCATATTTCAAAGTGGAATGATTGAATGATCAGGTGCCAAGGGTAGTAAGTACTGTTACAGGTCTGGCTTTTTCTTTTTTTAAGATTTATTTATTCAAAAGGCAGAGTGACAGAGAGATTGATTCATTGATCTTCCATCTGCCCATTCATTCCCCACGTGGCCGCAATGACCAGAGCTGGGCAAGGCTGAAGCCAGGCGCCTGGAACTCCATCCAGGTCTCCCACATGGGTGGCAGGGGCCCAGGCACTTGGGCCCTCTTCTGCTGCTTTTGCAAGCACATTAGCAGGGAGCAGGATTGAGAGTGGAACAGCTGGGACTCCAACCAGCCGTGGGATTGCCTGCATTGCAAGAGGCAGCTTAATCCAGTACACTGCAATGCCAAGCCCCTATTTGTTTATTTTTAAACGATTTAATTATTTGAAAGGCAAAGTGATAGTTTCCATTCTCTAATTCACTCACCTAATGCCCACAGCAGCCAGGACTGGTCCAGTGCCGGAGCCAGGAACTCCATCTGGGTCTCTGACATATGTGGCAGGAACCCAAGTACTTGGGCCATCATCTGCCTACCTCCAGGCACATTAACAGGAGGCTGGATCAGAAGCAATGGTGGAAGTCTATCCCAGGCACTCAGATACCGGAGGCAGGCATCCCAGGGTGCAAGTTAACCCACAGTGCCACAGTTTCTGCTCCACATCTCCCATCTTTTACCCCCCTGGATTATTTTAAACCAAATTCAGCATTTCTAATTTCATCTGCACATACTTTTGTATTGAATGCTTATTTTTTTTTTAAAGATTTATTTATTTATTTGAAAATCAAGAGTTACACAGAGGTCTTCCATCTGGTGGTTCACTCCCCAATTGGCTGCAACAGCAGGAGCTGCGCCGATCCGAAGCCAGGAGCTTCTTCTGGGTCTCCCACATGGGTGCAGGGGCCCAAGGACATGGGCCATCCTGCACTCCTCCACTGCATTCCCAGGTCAAAGCAGAGAGCTGGATCAGAAGTGGAGCAGCCAGGTCTCGAACTGGAGCCCACATGGGATGCTGGCACTGCAGGCCATTGTGTCAAACCATTACCCCCAGCACACAGCGCAGGCCCCTTAACTGGGTAATTTTAAAAACAAAAAACTGATCACAGTTGCTGTTTAAATACTGAGTTGTTAGCCAGGTGTGCCACTGAAAAGTTTATTCTTCTGAGCTCCGAGGTATTCTTTGCAGTTTGGAGTCCAGGGCTGTGTGTGCTGGAGGGAAAAGAAGCCTTCTCTTGCCTTTTACATGAGGCTGCTTCTGTTTTCTATCTTTGTTAATCTGGACTTAGAATAAAGTGTGCAAAGACTTGTATTTCTGCTTGGCACATTTTCCTTGCCAGCCAGCTGGGATTCAGTCTACATGTCCTGCCAAATATTGAGATAACTATGGCATAGGCTCTTAATTTGCATGACTGAGTTTTTAGCCAATAAATTTTTTCTTATTTGCTTAAAGCTGTACTAAGTATTTGTATAAATTATAGTGATGGCATTGTCAAGGAAGTTATGACTTTTGATTTCAAACTGAAGGTGATTTGTAGAAAGGGAAATAAATTGTTCCTGAAAGTTTAAAGTAGGCCAAGAACTTGTGACCCGAGATGAGATTGTCATTTACTCACTGGATAAAGGTCAGGTGATTAATGAGGATTATTTTAAAAATCCTGAAAGTACAGTATTGGCAAATTATCTTTAGATACTGAAGTATTTCTTGTATAGAATATATTTAAGTCATTCCTAAAATCAACTTTTTTAAAAAGCGAATTGGATAAAAGGCCTATTTCTTAAGTTCCTACTTTATGCTAAGTCTTTTATATATTTATTCTTAATTACAAATGTGTAAAACTGACTTCATTTCCATCATATAAAACATAGTTCAAAGTTTGAATTACTTACATTGTTAAGTGGAAGATCTGTGAAACATGCAGTGATTTCTTTTAGTACAGTGCTGCTGTATTCTGATAAAAATGAACTTAGTTTTGTTGACTTATTTAAAGCTGTATATTTAAACAACACATGATTACTGTAAGATCAGTTTCATCTTAATGTGGGAAATAACAAGGTTATGGGATACGGGTGGTCTGAGTATCATCTTCACGGCTGTGCCAGTTGCCCGCCCCAGTTCTTGGGTTTTTCATGTTCCACTGGGGAAGA